TTTGATATGTAACTAAAGCAAAAAAAAAAATCAAAAAAAAAAAAAAAAGATTTTAATGCAAAAACAAATGTTTTCCATTGTTTATAATGGTCATCATCAGGATACTACAATCAAAAATCATCATTCACATAGAGCCAGGTACTGGCATAATGAGAAAAACATAAAAATAAAACAATGTTATGATACCTCAAAGACTGCTTTCAGAGCCTGTGAGAATATTTTTAGTTACTGCAATGTCCCTTATAGGAGCCTTAAAAATCCTAAAACTTTTCTAAGTGCTTGATATGGACCATGACAGAGAAATTATGTAAAAGATAATGATGTATGTATTTCACTTGACCAAGCTTATCATAGGCAAATATAATAAGAATGGTAATACAAAAGGCCTTTCCTAATAGTATAATCATGTTCTTTAACACATGCTTAAGGATTTAGCTGTTGCTCCTATATATTCCCATTGGCTGTTCTATTATCTTGGACAGAGATGGAGTATACACCAGGAAGGTACCGGTACTTCTTCTCATAGGTCCTTGGCATTCTTGAGCATTGGGAAAACCATTGGGCTTGTTGCATATAAAACATTTGCAATATTGATTTTAAAACTTTTGCTGTTTCTTTGTAGATGTTATTGAGGGTCTTCTTATATGTAATTGCCTTATAGTACCTACAGACAGTCTTTACAGAATCCAACTGGACATGCTGACATTTTATAAGACCTCTAATGAGGCTTGTTCTATGTTGTTAAAAATGTTTATTCTATGTTTTTGTTTGATTTTTGAATGTATAGCCTGACAATGACCATTGTAAATGTAGTAAAGATCTTTCACTTTTTCAAAAACTGATGTCTTAATTTTGCTTATTTTTCTGTACAATTATACAATTTACACTTTAAAGTAAAAACTTTCAGTAGTAATTTTTAGAGCTCGGAAATAATGTTTCAGTATATTTTAGCCCTAACACACCACTGGTAGTATTCTGTCTAGTAGAATTACATCTCTTAGGATTTTATCTGGTATGACTCTGTTCATTAGGATTGTCTGGTGGATTCTGTAATGATCTTACAACTTATGTATACTGCCCTGAGAATATAGCTTAATTATGAATGCAAGTGTGCTCAAAATATTAAATGGAATAAACTTTTGATGCAAAAGTACTTTCTTTTTTTAAAGGAATAAGAAGATTGAATATCATCTTTAAAATTAAGCTAATTTTATATCAAATTTTGAAGGACTCAAAGTTTAGGTAAAGAAATAATTTTATACCTAATTTTGTGAAATCTGAGTGGATATATTTTTAACATCCAATATAAAATGTTCTTAGTAATAAGCATTAGAAAAACTATTCAAATTTTTACTGTTCTAGACAGATGGAAAAAGAAAGAGGTTCAAAATTTGCTTATTCTCATTCTTGTATATTGACATATCAATGATAACTATATTTGCCCTTGATATGGTCTTCATTTCATTATTATTTTTTTATATAAATCTCTTACATGGATTATGAGAAAGATTCTCAAAATATGAAATTCTAAGAATTCTCATATAAAATTAAATTATTTTTAATTCTGCATAAAGCTTTGTTTTCTGAAACTGTGTTTTAGTATTTATTGACTGTTAAATACAAGATTGTGTTATTAATTAAACACTTAAAAAATTCATCATTGCTTACGCTGATTTAATTAATAATAATAAAATAAATGTTCATAATTATTATTTAAATATAAAATTATATTTCAAATCATAAAATTTATTAGATTTTTAATATTTATTCCAAAATTTTTTGCCATTCTCAGACTCAGATAATTCTAAATAATAAATAATAAAGTAGATATATAACAAAGTACTGTACTTGCATTAATTAATTAATTAATTAATGCATGACTAATTTTTAATATGTTTTATAATGTTGAAGTTAAACAATATTTTTAATTTTATTTGAAAAGAAAACTGTTTCATATTAGTAACATTTGAATTTGTTATTTTAATACTGTATAGAAAATACAGGAAGTAAAAATCTCTTATTATTCAAATATATTAAAGTACTGTTAAAAAGTCAAATAAATTTAAAACTTTAACAATAACAACATTAAAATCAAAGATTATACAATTAATTTTTTTCTTTTGACATCTTTTATACATTAGGAACAAATTTAATAAAACATTTACAAAAATGTAATTGCTTTTTGCAAGTCTTTTGCAAAAGTTTATAAATATTAAAAATTTTTATTATATAAAATGGTATCTTCAAATCATTTTATTAACAAATTAATACATTTAGAAGTTTAGAGATATAAAATTTACCCAAAATATGTAATTGTTGAATTACCTTTAGATAGATTTATATATGTTTTATGAGTGTCTCATTACTTATTTGAAAATATATTTATAAAATTTATATAAAGCCAACTGGAACAAATTCTATACTTTAAAATATCTAAAAATAAACTGTTAAATTGCAACTCAATTCAATGCTTCAAGAATCACTATATTTATTCAAAACTCACTACAGTAGATTTGTTTTATGATTCAACACTTTTACAACTCAAATTTTCCATTATGATTTATGAAATGCTATATTTAAGTGTGATCTTTTCTTTTTTTTTTTTTACTTTCTCTGCATGATATAATATGGTTTAAACTATATTTCCAGATATGAAACATAACTTTATGATACATCCTATAGAAAAAAAAAATGCTATTTGCTAGTACCATATACCAGTATATTCCAGCTGAAAAATGGTCCTACGTATAGCTCTGCTAATCCAAAACAACCTTAGGCTATACAATAATTAGTTTAGATATATAAATACAGTGCATTTTCACTTTTCATTTAAAGAATTTAGACTTTAGAAACAGTAGCCATTATTTTTTACTAGTAATTTTTTGTTTTTGTTTTTTTTTTTCAACACTCCAATTAGACATTATGGTAACTTCCAATTTTTCAATTTCAAATGACTGTTTAAAAAAATTAACACTAAAAATTTAAAGAATCTTTAAGAAAATAAAATTAATACTCCTAGTAAGATAAAAAAATAATTACATGATACAAAAACTAGTAATAAATGATCAAAAAGAGATATTTAGAAAGTAAATTCTAAAAGATTATGAAAAGATAAATCTTACACTCTAAAGCCAATAAAAAAGACATTAAAGAACAAATGCATTTAGAAAAATATAAATTTACGGAACATTATCCAATAATAATAGAGAGAAAAATTTAACATAATTATTCAATAGATTAATAACTCAAACATAAATGTTTCATATTAAAACAAGGAGAAATTTAGATTTCTAGACAAATTTCTGTTCTATTTATAAAGTGTACAAGTTTCTATGATACATTAAATAGAATGTTACACGCTGTACACTTCTAAATATAGGATGGATTTCTCCTGGTAACAAATGTATATTAGATAAATGGTAATTTCATTTTTAATTTGAAAAGTTAATTTACAATCTTTATAATTTATTAAAAATTTATCAATTTTGTCAACAAAACTTTGTTTTATTTCTCTTGTACATGGGATAAAATTAGACAAGAATAGATACTATATATCCATAACAAAATCAATATAAAATGTTACTATTACAGTATTTTTTCTAGCCAGATACTATATGGATAATAAAAGTTTAAATAATGTTTCAAGTTGAATAAATTATAACAAAATTAAATATGTGCATTATTAACTAGATAACATATAGCAATAATTAAGAAATAATTATCAAATAATTGGAATCAATTTAATAATTTCTATTCTAATAACATATCTTAAATAAAAAGTAACTTATCAGCAAATAACTTAGTTGACAAACTTTTAAAATATTATAAAAATTAATTTAGATATACGATCTTTTGCTTTTAATGTTGACAAGATAATTTTATTGACAACAGTAACATACTAGTATCATATTTAATATTACAGTTAACATTTTATCATTAAAGATCAATTACAAATTACGAATCCTATATACAATTCAACTGTAATAATTTTAAAAAATATATTTATTATATATAATTAAATATTTATTATATATATTGAATATTTATGTAGTATTGACAGTCTGTACTTAAGTCTGAAAGATCAAATAAATAGTAAAGTATTGTAAGTGGCTTAACTAAATAATTCCATGTAATGATAAATTATTAAAAATAAATAAATATTATGCCATATTTATCAAAATTAAAAAGAATTTCAAAAGAAAAAGATTTTTTCTAACTTAAATTTGTTATCATTTAATATGCTTTTAAAATTAAAATTTACATAATAAAATATTTTTTTGTTCTACTTTAAACAATTTCATCTCAAATACAAAAATTAAGATAAGTCAACAAATTAATAACTAAATTACTCAAATTATTAATTAAAAGATAACAAGAGATAGATTCATATAAAAATTATCAATTTTACCTCCATAAACAAAAAAAAAATCATAAAAAACTCTTAAGTCAGAATTGTGCAGTTTTATATAACTGATATTGTTTTTTGTTTTATAAAATAAATCGAAGTACCATAAGAGAAATAATTTGATATCAACAAAATAATTTAAATTTTGACACCACTATCAAATTAATTGATCAGTTTCATCTAATGCAAGTATGACTCTTATGTTTTAAATTATATTTTAAATTTCTTGTTAATGTATTATATTTTAAACTAATTTCAAAATATTAAATATAGTAAAAATTAGTGTAAGCTATATTATAGTGAGATTTTTCTACAAATGATTACAAAATTAACTAAAATAACAACATAAAATTCTCAATACATCAATTACATATATGTAAATTAATATATTCTTTTTATCTCATTATTAAACATTTATTGTCATCATGCCACTATTAATAGTGTCCTTTCAAGAAAGCAGCAATTATACTACAGTTTATAAATAATTTTATTATTTCTTTATTTATAGTAATACTAATTTTTTTATTTTTTATTTTTGCATTATATCAATTTTCTTAATTATTACTTTGTTTGAAAGAATTAAACTACAAAATACCTCACGAGCAATTTGATCAAGAGCTTCATTTTCAGCAGTGTGAAGTTTTGCAGTAGTTCTTCGCCTACCAGTACTGGGCATTGGCATTTTGAATTTAATAATTCATATATCTGAAATAAATAATTTTTCAATATAAAATTTAATCAATATAAACAATCCAAAATTATTAAGCCAAACAACAAATTTATCATTGGCTACTGCTATTTAAAAATAAAATACATTTACGTAATTTTTAAAGACATCAAAAATACATGTGCACAAAGATATAAAAGGTAATAGTAACAATGATATACACTTATATGTCTAACAACAAATAGCATACTTGTCTTTTACCTAACTGAATTTAATAAGTAGGTTTATGAAACATTTCCTCATGACTCAGATACAAATAAAAAATATATTGAATAGCATAAACCATTTATTTGGGTCATAATAGTCATATATTCAAATCAAAATATACATGAATCATCATCATTATTGTCAACAATTTTAAAAATAATCTCATTAATCTCATATCACAATAATAATACTTAAATTTAAATATGTTTTTTTAAAAGTAATAATTTTGTTCTTTAAACAAATTTTTCTACCTGTATTCAAATAATTACGCTTACATATGCTTTAGCAAATGGCAATATAAGACAGCAATTAATTCATTAAAAATAGTAACCTCACATTCTTTTCATTAAAGATAATGCTCATTTAAATTAAATAACAAATAAACAGCATTAGCATTTAAAAAAAACCATCCATTTTGTTTAAATCAGTAGTTTCATATAAACATATCATAAATCACAATAATAATAAAATTTAAATTTAGAGCTGGAAACAATTCAATAAAATAAGATTAAGTTAATACTTAAGTGAGTTAAATGGAATTTAAACTAAAGCAGATTGGCATTCAGCAAAAAATGCCATTCTTCTCCTCTGAATTCGCTCGATCTCTCAATATTGTTTTTTCACTTTATTTAACAATTAAATGAGCAAAATATCAGGTTTTTATATATAAAACATTATTATATATTTAGATTGATATTATTAAGTGAAAGGCTTTGTAAAGATTTTTGTATTGGAAGTAATTGGAAGTAAGATATTAGGAAATGTATACATTTAAATTAAAAAATATCAAATTTTTTCATGGAGTGCATTTATATGTTTTTACTTCATTTATAACATTGCTTCATGACTCATGGAGTAAGTTATAGTATTTGTTACTTTGAATAATTCTAAGTATAAAAGAAGCTTCTGTCATTTTATAAAGTTGATTTTGATATAACAAACCAATGAGATTGTTTGATGTGGCTTAAAACAAGATGAAAACTTATAATAAAAAAAAAAAAAGTTTTAAAATATTTATTTTAACTAAGCCTAAAATCTAAATGAGATTACTTGATTTTTGTTATGAATTTTACTTACATTTTCTATACAAAGTAATGTGTTTAAGCTTCTAGAATAACGCTTAAAAGAATTGTTAAGTTTCTTTCGTAATACACGTCACTTTTTCTCTCAATTCCTTCATTCCTCCCGTCAAAATGTGTCTCGCCAACTTGTGCCCGGCTGTATCCTAACTGACTCTAACATGAACTCGTACTTTATATATATATGTAATATTGGTTGTTTGAATTATTTTTATACGCTAATATTACGATACGTAGAAATTTTAATAAACGATATAGGTTCTATTAGAGTACACTTCAAAATTTTATTATACGCTTATTTTAATCGCCGAATACGGATATATAAATCGACTTAGGATTATAATTAATATTTTTCTATTTTAGATTAATAATTTTTAATGCACTTTTTAATTGTTTATATATTTAGATGATTTAGCGAAAATTTTAAAAATATGAGTACTATAATAATAATATAGCGCCATCTAAAGACTTTTAAACGTATTAAATTTCGCGAAAATAATTATTGTATTTCGAATTGTAATAAATAATTATATAGGCCTATTTTGTTTTAACGATTAAATTTAAAAGAAAATTTTTTGTGCGTATACAAGCGATGCAATCATTTTAATTATTTAATTCAATACATCGACTATTTTAGCACCAAATGTCGACTTTATTACGCTTCGAAATAAAATGATTATTTACGCAAAATTTAATAAGATTAAAAACTTAGATGGCGCTACATTATTTTAAAATAACAGCGCCATCTAAAGTTTTATGAAACTTATAAATAAATCCTATATATAAAGTAGAAAATAAGAAATTAAAAAATATATTACCGTTTCGCTTTAATTTTTTCATTTCAAGAATTTTTAAGTATTTTCTATAATTTTATTTATATTATAAACGTCATAAACATGTTTTAATATTCACGAAATGAAATACACGCGCAAACTTATAGATAAATTGTGGAACTGATGTTACGAATGTTGAAACGAAAATTTAATTATTTTAGATAAAAAGATAATGCGATCGCGAATTATTAATATTTTCTAATTTTATTTGAAAAAATTAAAATAAATTTATATAATGCAAACCAAAACTATATATTTTTGTAGTTTTTGACTTTTTTACTATGATATAAGAAACCAGCCACGTGTTTTTATACGTAGTTAATAGTAAATGAATCCTTGACCCGTTACAATAGTACAATGGCGTGGCACTAATTCGTTTAAATCTATCACTAGACAAATAGACTACTGCGTGCGAGTTGGGCGTGAAAACAATCCTTGACCTTTTTTTCTGAATTCATTCTAACTTCGAGTGAGAATTCTATTAAACAGAATTATATTCTCTTTAAAAAAATATTCTGAGAATTTTTATAGCGTTTGTTTTACATTAATTTACCACTTAAAATATTTTTTTTTTACCATCAATATGTGAATGAGCCAAGAAATGTCTGCCATTCATATCAGTAATCTAATCTAGCTCATTAGTGTAACCACGTGTGTAAAAATAATCGTTATAAATACAAGTAACAAAATTATTTGTTTAAAAAAAATACCTGAAAATAGTCTTTAAAATTATTCAGTCGTTGACAAGTTTCGGCGGATAATTTGCAGAAGATAAAAAGTAGAATTTTGTCTTATTTACTAATTATACGAAGAATTTATCTTAAAATTCTTAAGATAAATGCTCTCTCTGACAACGTTTATCGTTCGGTACTTTCTTCCATTAAACAAATCTTTTTATATTGACAATTTCCTTTATTTGTACAGATAGCTTATCAATTAAAATTTGAAAAAGATCCTTAAAGAAAACGGACATAGAATTTTAAACATATTTTTAATAAATAAATTTAGTAAAAGTTCCAAAAGCATTTAAAATCTAGCAATTACATTAACATTTTCGGACTTTTAAAACCATTTTCAGGTTACACGTCTTATTTTTCTAAAAAAGGGTAACTTAAAGGTTGTTTTAAACATCCGAAAACGTTTATATTTTACTGCTAGATTTTAAAAGTCATATACTTCGTTATAGAATTAACACTAAACCAAAGCTGAATCTATTTATATATGTATTAATATTTTTCAAATATATCATTAAAGTGATGCTAATATCGTTTTAAGTTACTTTAATACTTTGGCTTTTCATCAGAATTGTTGACTCATTAGTTATATAAGAAACTCAATGTCGCGTACCATTCCGAAATTGATATATGTATCATTCCAATATTTACCGTTATTTTTATTCGGAGTTACGTAAGTTTTACTTTTTAAGAATTTAAGATTTTTATTGTAACTGTAAACAGCAATGCAAAAATTTTAAAAACTTAAGATATACCGTATATTTATATTTTTAATTAGTGTTATCGTGTCGAATTTGTTCTACGAAATTACTAGAACGTAGGTTTCATTTAAGGAATCAACTTTTCCCAAATTCTTTTTAGGTGTTATACAATGCCAGAGAAGGCACTAAGCCAAAAGAAAACCCTTTAACATTCTTTCGGGATGAGTGGTGCTACGTCATTTGATTCAACAAACATTGTCTTAGTCAATGAATATTTACAGACGAATGTTATTCGTTTTTAACTTAAGGTCAGATGATGCTTTATTCTTAAACGGTAACTAAATAAAAACTTATTTCTAGCGATGTCCTTTGCTTACATAAAAACTTAATTATAATCTAATGAGGTGAAGTTTTTTAATTCGGTAAAAGTAGCTTGTTCTAAAGATAGCAATGGGAAAAATTTACATTTATTATTCGGTTTAAAGAATATAGCATTATAATGTTAGCCAAAATCTGTCAAAAACTGAAAGGATCTTTATTATAATTGATATAAACATTAAAGGAATGATGTGACTACTTGACAGAACGCGTTCTTTGTTGGTTTAGTTCCAAGTTTTTAGATCACGAGTCATTATGACAAGCCGACAATAGTTAATCCTAAGAGTGTCGCCAAATATTTAGTGTAAAAATTACCGTGTCGAGATTTTTAAAACGCAGTTTGCCAAATGCATTCGTTGTGTTCTGACAGTTAAGCATCCTATATATTTCAATCATCAGTTTATCATTTAGATAGTGGTCCTGTTTAATATCAGTAGTCAAGTGGATGTTGTTAAACAATATCTTGCAGCAAATATATATTTTTTAATAATAATAATAATATTTGAAGAGTGATGTTGTATATATATTTTTATACAAACAGTAAACAATTTTGGATAAAAAACAATTCCATATTTATTGGCAAAAATTTCCATTAGTTCAAGCATCAGTCATTTAGTAATGATGATGAAAATGATTTTTTTTTTAAATCAGGGAGTAGTTAAGAAATATGAAATACAGAATACATACATAATTTACAGATCATATTAAATTCTAAGACAAAATAATAAGTAAATTCTATTTCCATAACTTTTTAATTGACATATTCTTTTCAGCATCTTTCTGCATGACCTATAAGATAAAATAAGAATTATTATTATCATCATTGTCATCTTAATGTATTTCAGAATAAATTTTATGATGATTTTTTACCTTTGCAACTGCCATTTCAAAATCTTCCTGAGTGACATGAACTCTCCTTTCACGCAGTGCATACATGCCAGCTTCTGTACAAACTCCCTTTACTTCAGCACCAGATGCCCCAGGCATCATTTCTGCAATTTTTCGCAAGTTTATTCCTCTTGTCAGATTCATTTTACGTGAATGGATCTTAAGAATGTCTAGTCGAGCCTATTACAAGAAAGGAAATTATAAATATTTTAGATGTGTAATTTTAATAATATTTTCATCTTGAACTGGTGATAAATAATTTCAACTAAAGTATTTACAAATCAAATCAAATAATTCAAATTTATTAAATTAATTGTTTACTTGGAAATTAAACAAAGATATGTATTAAATTTTGTGCAAAAATACTTTTCAACATTCACTACTCATCTTCAGAACTGTTTATTAGTGCAAATATAAAATTAAACAATTTGTTAATGTTGGTAGTGATGAAAATGGCAAAGCATTTGAAAATAGTCACATACTTTATGTATAATTTAAAAAATATGCCAATAAAGCATTAAATATCGAATAATTTGGAAGACAATATGAATTGTTATAATTAAAGAAATCAATGTTTCATCCATTTCCTAAACTGTATTTGCAATATACTACCAAATATATTAGCAAATTATCTTTTTAAATTAAATTTTGTTATTAAGTTATTCAAATAAATTGGACTCTGCTTAATGTAACCATTTTTGGGACTCATCTGTATTAATGATGGAAACCAATAAATAATATTAAGTAGGGTAAATAAACAATTACAATTGATGAAAATTCTGATTTTATTGACTTTGACATTAAAAAAAACAATTCTACACTGTTAGATAAAGGGAAAAAAATATTTGTAGTCTTTGTATTGTCTTCCTTTCATCTCTTATAAAACAACTTCAGCAAAAATTACCTGACAATAGATCAACTTTGCAAACCATGACATCACTAAGTATTGACCATTGTCTCAACCCAATTAAAAGTGATATATCAATAATAAACCTTTGCAAAAATGTTTTTCACTGATGATGCAGTATTAACTCACATTGATTTTCAATGGAGGAAAATCCATACAATCCAGTATGGAAAGAAACTTCAAACATGTTAAACATGTGGATGGAAGTAGCTCAATACCAAGAATATGTCAGAGAAAGATTTGGTCAATTTTGTTTTAAAAATTCCTTTATTATGTTACTCAAATGCAGAAGTAGAGCATTTATTTAGTCAGATGAATATTGTTAAGACAAAACTGTGGAATAGATTTCACTCAGTAGCACATTAACAATTAGATATGGTTTGAAGAGATTAGGGAAATGCATCTATGATTATGAATTGCTAGTAAATGTCATTGGAAACATATGCACTATAAAATCATACCAAAATTTAGAGTCTAAAGAAAGACCATCTTTTGAACACAATGAAGAAGTTATTTATTAAAATTCTAAATTACTTATTAAATTATAATTATTAATTTAAATAAGAGATGGTGCCTAACACTTACCTCTAGTACCAAATTTATTTGTATTAATTATTTGATTATAGCCATATTATAGCCTGAATATATAGGCAACTGTTGGATTATTAATGAAGAAATTGAAGAAGTAATGGAATTTAGTGACAAATGGACTTTCTGAATTAACTTAAAAATAAATTAATTAAAGGTTAATTTTTATTTTTTGTTTAGCTACTTTTTAGCAAATTTTGAAAATTTTAAACTTATTTTTATAAAGTTTTTTGTTTGCTTTCAGCTACTTTTATTTTTTTGAGTGGAAACCCTAGAAGAAACCAATATTTTGTCAGAAAATGTTAAAGCAAAAATTATGAGATCCTCAACAGCCTTTCAGAAAATGATTTACAGAATTGCTTTGAATGTGGCAGTATTGTATGTAGCTGTGTGTCAACTCAAAAAGAAACTATTTTGAAGGAAATCATAGTTGATTTTTCCAAGTTGTTAAGTAAAAATAGATACAGGTAGAGTCTTTTTGTGTTGGATGTCATGTTTAGTTAAATCTGGGTAAATGTAACTTAAAAGAAACTTAAATTATGAAAAATTAATTAAAGAATAATAAAAATTACAATAATTTATATTCTTCATTGATGTCATCATAAAAGCAATCATTTTTTGTATATTAAATTTCTTATGATTAATTCATATTACTTACCTCTTCATTTGGAGGAGGAAATTCAATTTTTCTGTCTATTCTTCCTGGTCTTAAAAGAGCAGGATCTAGAATATCTATTCTATTTGTGGCCATTATAACCTAAAACAAAAAATTTTTATAATCAAAATGTAAATATTAAAACTTTAATATTAATAGAAAATGAAAATTTTTTAAAAATCTAAAAAAAATTACTTCTTTTTTTATAACACTAAATATTTTTAATATATTTAAATCATTTACTTATACAAACATCAAAAAATTTTTAAGATATAGTATATTTATGATTTTTTTTTTAAATTTTCAACATTATAATATATGTATAAATTTAAATTTTCATATTTAAAAATAAATATTTTTATAGAACAAAGTTTTCAAAGTTTTTATCTTATAATCTTTACTATTATTTATATATTTACTTTTATTTATATTTGTATAACTTTGATCTCATTAGAACAACTCTTGAAATTTGGAAGGCTAAATAATTTCAATAGACACTCTTTTAATAATTAGTATTTTGAAAAATATGAAGTAATTTGATTTTATTTTCTTTTTTTAATAAAATAATATGTATATAAATAAAATTGCTAGACACAATATACTATAAAGCTAGACTCCAATCAATGCTGAATTCTATCAGGCTAGATACGGCTAATTACTAAATAAATTATGCAACCAACTTTGCACTAGAGGGAGGCATTAGGCACCATCTCATCATCTCATAATAACTTTAATTAATTAAAAATTATAATTATTAATTTAAATAATTTAAAACTACTGAAAGAAAGAAATTGGCCTGGTTCTAAATTATTTAAATTAATTAATTAAAAATTATAATTATTAAAGTTATTAAAAAATGGCGCCTAACGCCTCCCTCTAGTGCCAAATTGATTGCATAATTTATTTAGTAATTAGCCGTATCTAGCCCAATAGAATTCGGCATTGATTGAAGTCTAAATGATATGTAGTTTATGCAGAGTTGTTCTTATGATAAATTTTAATGAAATTATTTTTTTTTATTACAATGCAGTTATGTAATTCATAATAGCTTATTTGACATCCAATAATTTTTATGAAGTAAGGATATACCATACACTAAATCAACAATGCTAATTTTAACAATAACTATCTTGATGATTTTAACCTAATTTCCAACAATCAATTATTAACTTAAAAAAAAGCAAGAACGAAATTCAAATTAAAGATATAGAACATTTTTTAATGATTTCATCATAAATTTAAAGTCTACCTTTACTATCTGTGAAAAAACAATCAGTACATACTGTTAAATTCTGTACATTGTACTATATTTTATGCTCAGTTATTATAAATATTGGGAGATTAAATCCTAATTCAGGAGGTTCAATTCAAAAATCAATATAGTGCTAAATTAAAATTGGAAATAAAAGAAAATACAAGAATGACAGGAATGATAAAAATAAGCAAATATTTTTCTCCCTTGAAATCAAAAAATTTGTTTTCAAATTTCACATTCATTATTAATTATGCTTCTTAGTAAAAGCATTTTTAACTGAAATTTTATTTTTATTCCAAATTCAATCAATTTTTGAATTACAAATTAAAAATTATGGAATTAAGAATTAAACAGATAATTTTAATTTTATTTATTAATTGAATCATACATGAATATCATAAATACAATTTCCAAGTGTCATTCACTATAATGCTTTGCAAATGTTAGCCATATAGTACCACTTCTATCTGCTTATTATAAGCAGTTGTTAGAAAGCAGGAATTTTAACTGTATTTGCCAAATGTTTGTATTGTACTACAGATATCCATTGCTTAACAGTTTTGCTTAAAGCAGGATTTGACCAACATGCAAAATTAATTGTGACAATCCCTTTATATATGTGGCAGAAGTTTTAATTAACATGGTTTTAACAGCTGTCTTTACTTAATATAGATATGTTTTTCTCAGCAAATAAAGTGTTGGTGAATTTGATATTTTTATTTGGAGGATGATTTCTGATATAGATATGTAGTTTATCTACGATAGTTGCGAAATTTAACAGATTACTACTAATGTGATATTGTATTCTTTGTTTAGAAACTTATTCTATAACTTTTCTTCACATTTTGTTTGCACCAAAATTGAACCAAACTGTCTGCAGATAAAATGCACATCAGATACATTGTATACTTTTTAAGTTTTGTAAAAGATATAATGCTAACAAACAGTAAAAAACACTCTTAGTATGTATGGAAAAGATGCTCCTAAACATCGGGCATGTCAAATGTGGTTTTGAAAGTTACGTTCAGGAAATTTTGAACTAAAAGATACGTAACATATGGGGCATCCAAAAGCTGTTAACAACAGAAATTTCAGAAAGAAATTGTTAAAAATTGACAAACAACAACTTGTGAATTTGCAACAAATCTTAGTGTGTCACAGACATGATGATTGTGTTCCATGTGCATTAAGTGAAAAAAACAGACTGGATCTAGTTTAATTTTGTCTGACAAACATAGAGAGCATTAAAGTTTCATTTTATTTTTAAATTAGTTACTCATTTTTATCATGGAATACTTTTTTACAGATGACAAAATAAAAATATTTCTTATTAACCAAAAGTTTGTTCCAGCAGGTGGTAATTATGCAGATTAATGTGATTTCGATGACAATGGTAGCATCAAGAGAGCAATTAATCATGTTAATCAAGGGATACCTGTATTATTTTATCATCACCATTAATTAAATTTGCTTACTTTTTACTTTTTATGGTCTTTTTCAATTTTTCAATATAATTTTCTGTAATGTGAGGCAAATGTTAACTGTACAATGGCTCTTCTTAGTGGATTATAAAGTAGATTGAAAATGTTAATTTTCAACCAAAATTTTTATTTGTGAATGTTATTTCAACCTGGATTTTATGATGGTTGGTACAAGTCTCTTCCTACTTAAATTGTAAAATATAAGCCTGTATTATTTATTTTTTATTTTGTTTGTAGGCCTAATGTAGGCATACATCAAACAAAGTAAAAACTATTTTATTTCATTTTAAATAAATTTTGCTTTCATTATTCTATTTTGCATGATAAAACTTCTAATAAATGAAAATAGACAACTAAATGGCCAAGCAGTTGAGCTATCAGACTACTCTGGGAACAAATCCCGTCAGAAATTTTTTGGGGTAGTCCATCTTGGATATGTTGGTCCCATCCCTCACTACCCAGCCATCTCATTGCAGGAAGCCAACAAACCATGATGGGCTTGAAAAAAAAAAAAAAAAAAGTCCTCTAGAGCCCACAAGGGAAAAAGAATAAAAACAACTGTTTTCTTTGTACAGTACATATAGTGAAAGTGAACTTTAAAAGTATGACTTTGTAATAGTATTTTATATATTGCCATATATGACAGGCAATCAACTAGTAGTAATATGGTAAATTTAACTTTATACTTGAAAGAATTTACTAAATTTTTAGGATGTTCACATCTATATCAATTATGAAGATATTAGAATATTTAAAATTTGGAAAATCTGTAAACAATCTAAAGTCAATTAGAATCCTAAACATACTGAAAATTATGAAAAATAAATTGATTTAGTAAAAATTTATGGTAGAAATTTATCTATAATAAAATTAAAATATTTATATCATATGAAGAAATATCCATTAAGATAAATCAGGCAAACATTCATAAGATTTGAAGCATTCAGAAATAAATTATAATTTATTTCTGAATGCTTCAAACCAACTTCTCTGAGAAATAATTATTTCTCAGAGAAGCTGGTATACTCAGTATATCAATAAATCAAAAATATTTACACCTTGAAAAAAATTCACACATCATCTATCATCAGACAATAGTTAAGTCTAAAATATATTATTTTTTATTGGGTAAATGCAAAAATTTACTTCTAATTACAGAGTATTCAGCAAAAGACTTTTTAAATGTCATCAATAATTGATTTTTTAATTTTATATTAATTTACTTTTTATGGAATAAGACAATTGTCATCTATAAATTTTATTCAATATTATAATAATAATATAATTGCAATTAATGCAAAAGTATTGCATCCTTTATAAAGAACTTAAAGAATAAAAATTTATAAAAGAAAATATATTAAATTTCATTTCAATATATGTATGTACATAGCAAATATCATAATGTCTTGTTATGTATACAAAGAAACAAATTTCTGAAAATGAAAATAATTTTGGTTTTGTATATCATTGTTTTGAAACTACTAAATTTGAAAACATTTCTACCAATAAATTTATAAAATTTTGCAATTGCTTTACTTCTCTGAAATTATTTCAACCCTTGCTTGAAAAAAAGACAGAGTAACAGAAGAATGTTATAAAAAATTATATTGAAAACTGTTTAAAAAACTATTGGAAAAATTACAACAAGAATCATAAGAACACACACACCCAAAAACAGTTGTTCAATGGAAAGATAAAACAGTTAAACTATTTTATTTTGAAATATTGTTTATTTAAAATTTAAAGAAATTATAAAAGGAAAGAATGCCATGGATAAAAGAGATGATATGATGATAAACTATAAAGTCAAATTATGTCTTTGGAAGTGTTAATATCTTTATTGTAGCTGTTGTGTTCTTCACAAAAATTATACATCCAAATACAGTAGAGCATCGTTTATCCAAATCAATTGGGGCCTGGGGTTGTTCGGATAACTTATTTTTTGAATAACCGATTATGTATAAAAAAATATATTAACCTATCCCATGTTTAAGTTTTTCTCCGTTGCATGTCGCTTTGCTTTGAATTTTCATGAATGTTAAGCCTAACGTAAATTTTTTAAAATAATAATCGTGGCTATTGTATTGCTAAAAATTAATTCTTTATTTTGTACAAACAAAATAAATATATTAAAAAATATAAAAACAAAAAAAAAATTATACTTTAGAAGTTAATCTAGAATCAAAAACATTCGATTCAGCATGACACAGTCCAAATGGAATGCTTTTGGTTAACCGATGTTCTACTGTAATAATCTTTGTTATTTTCATTTAGAAAATCTTGCTTTATATCTTTATTAACAACTCTAATATTAATTCAAATAAAGACTAAAAATTCAGATGTTAGTTTATAATCCAATAACCGCCTAATAGAATAATCAGAAAAAAATATGTGAAATAAGTGTAATACATTACATTTTGTTTTGTACACTGTTTTAAAATATCACATTAAATGAACACAAATTTTTTTAACAAATATTTCATATTATAATTTAGCATATTGTCTGAAAAGATTGTTCTTTTTTTGGACTATAGTGAAAAGTCTATGGTCTTCTTTGGTTTCTAATGTAACCTGTTAAAATACAAAATGGTATAAGGGTTTTAGTATCACAGGCCTCAGAGTGCCATTTTCCCTCCAAAAAAGTGAGAAAAGTGAGTTGAAATACAGAAACAGTGAGTAAAAAGTGAGTGTAATAGTGACAAAACAAAGCAAAAACATAGAAGGAAAACTCAGCAAAATAACAGTAAAAGTTGTTTTTTTTTCTCTTTTTACTCTGTTATGGTTAAATACATTTTAAAAATTTCTATATATACTGTAATACAGTAGCCACTCATTATATCGTGGATTCGGATATATCGCTTTTTTTTTTNATGACTAAATACATTTTAAAAATTTCTGTATGTATTGTAATACAGTAGCCACTCGTTATATCGCGGATTCGGATATACCGCTTTTTTCCGCCCTCCAAATTTTAAAATACCAATTGCCATTGAGTTTCTATTTGCAACAAAATACAGTATTCATATTTCTACCATTATCCTTAAAACTACCACTTAAGGTGAAACAATAAATTCATCAAGATCTAAATATGCATAACAGATAGACATATCAATTGTCATTTGTTTCCTTTTGATATTAAAAATTGTTTATTTATTAGTTTTAAGTACCATCTCCTCATTTACAAGTTTCTGTAAATGAGGAGATGTTTCTGCAAATGAGGAGATGAGGAGAATAAAAATTCTCTAAAAAGCAAAATAAAGTTAGTTCTGTATAAAAAATTTCCATTCAGAATTAAAGAAATCTTTTTCTTACACATTATGTGGTGAATTTGAAATTTCACATCTTTATGAAAATTGATGGTATTGCGTCAATTCACATAAGGTGTAAAATTTCAAATTCACCACATAATGTGTAAGAAAAAGATTTCTTTAATTCTGAATGGAAATTTTTTATACAGAACTAACTTTATTTTGCTTTTTAGAGAATTTGTACTCTCTGTAATTTTATAAGTTTTGATGGTTCTATTATATATTCCATATTTTTTTTAAAAATTTTCAATAAATAATAAAAATTAATTTAGTAAGCGATTTATTTTCACAATAAATCACTTATTGAATACTGTATAATAAAATTGTAACTGAACTAATATTTCGTTTTTATACTGACAGTATTTGTCTTTACATATCATTATTAAAGAAATAATGCTATATGTGTGTTGGTGGTATCGATGTTTACATAAAACGTCAAGTAATACAATATAACCAAGAATAAAGTTCAGTATTAAAAACTAAGCTGATTGCATAGCATGTATAATCTGTTTAGTATAAGCCCAGAATTTTTAGTATTCGGTTATATCACGCTTTTTTCTCTGTCTCCCCACAAGCGCAATAATAAGAAGCTATTGTATTTCCAGTAAACCATAAATACTTATAATACTTACTACACGGAATAATTATACTTGTAGTCAATTTACACATATATTTAGGAATATATAGATGTGATTAAACGTTAACAATATGCTATGAAATCATTAAAATAACTTTATTCTATATAACTCAAGTTTATGAAATTATTTAAAGATATATAAAGTAAAAAAATATTCTTGTAAATGACAACTCCATAACCCAACTGTTAATTAAAACCAAATGATTTGCCAAATTATTGGGCAAATCATTTATAACAAAAATTTTCAAATCATAACAAAAATAATTAAATGGTCAGAAACGAAATAATTTGTCTAGAGGTAGGAAGTTACACCACTGTCTCATGTTAATTTTAATAATTATAATATATTTTAAATTTAGAAGTGGCAGCAGTGTTGTCAGCTTGAGAGATTAATCCGTCGGCATAGTGTGTTTTTCCCTACAAAGGGATTTTCTTAGAAAACAGCCAAAAACGTAGGAATGCTTAAAATACTTATTTTTAATCCCCATAGATAGAAATGCAACTTTGAAGAACTAGATTTTGGCTAATAATGACAATATGGCATGAGTACATAACTTTAATTAATATTGGCTCAATTTTGGTTTCTGAATTTGTAATGAGAGAATTTTTTTAAGTGCATGAAAGACCTACATATGTGAAAAGAATTTGTTTCCTATAACCTAACAACACTAAGCGAAAGTTGTGATTTTGAGTCCCACTCAGGACCGAGTATTTTCTTCCAGAAAATTCTAGTTTGATAGTTCGATAATTTGGCAGATAGTTTGGCTTTAAAATTATTTTCAATTGGTCCCACATCTTAATTGAGCATGTGGAAATGATCAAAAAAAGTGAGAAAATGACCTGAAAGGTGAGGATACTTCAAAAAAGTGAGTACAAGTGAGAAAAGTGAGTGACTCCGAGACCTGGTATCATCACCATGGACATTTTTAATTGTTTTGCATTTGGGAAATGGAAACTTTTTTGGGGGTTTTCAGTGATTGCGAGTGATAGATTTATCAAGATAAATTTTGTATCTTCAATTCAATTTAAATAAAATGTTATGTTTAATTTTCCTGTCTTGAATTTTGAGTCAAACAGTATATTATCTATATTTTTTTCAATAAAAAAAATCTATTTAAATATAATTTACATATGTTTTTGTGTATATTTGCTAAATGTACACTTATATAGCCTGCAATACAATATGTGGCCTTCCAAGTTCCTCTGACATCAGATAGGACCTTCCAATTTCAAAAGACAGAACTACATATGAGAAATTTAATAAATGCAATTTAGAAAAAAATTCATATTAAAATTTGTTCTAAACTCAAGCACTAATCAATTAAAATGATTTCTATCACAGCTTTAACTAAATATAAGAAAGACATTTGGTATTCATAGATCAATAAAGTAAATAAATTTTATATTTGTTTTCATTATATAACATTTTCCCCATATTCTGAAAATATTTCAAGCACACATCCCTATAATTAGTTTTACAGTATAAACATGAATTCTTCCATCTAATTATTTTCAATTTTCCTAGTCTAAGACAAAAATAAATAATTATTATACTGTACAATAATGATCTTTGTAATATTAATAAAGCTTGTAATATTAATAAATTCTTTAACACAATATTGTATACAATAAATTTACAAAAGTTTATATTAGTATAATCAACTTTCAAAAGAAAAGATTACCTCTATAGACAAATCTACTATCTACTATGGAAAAGACAAATGTACTTCATACTACAGATTATTACCTTATAATCATAAACTTCATACTATCATATACTTCACTCTACAGATTATTACCTTAATGTTCTTTGTAGCTTCAAATCCATCCAATTGATTTAATAATTCTAACATTGTTCTCTGAACTTCACTATCTCCACCAGATCCAGCATCAATTCGAGAGGAACCAATAGAATCAATTTCATCCATAAAAATTATTGATGGTGCATGTTCCCTTTATTTTAAATAAAAAAGCAAAAACTCTTATTATAAATTTTTTAAAACAATTTCATTAATTCATTTTTAATACTTATATAATTATTTCAAATTTTAGATATAAATATATTCAATAATAATTTTTAAATTAAATTTTAAATTAAATTTCATCTCACCTTGCCATAACAAACAATTCTCTAACCATTCTTGAGCCCTCTCCAATAAACTTTTGTACAAGTTCAGAACCTGATACACGAATAAATGTACAATCTGTATGATGAGCAACTGCTCTAGCAAGAAGAGTTTTTCCTGTTCCTGGTGGACCATACAGCAAAACACCCTATTGAAAATTATGAAGTTGTTTAAACATTTTGTTTTGTCTGCTAATTTCTCTATAATATAAATAAATTATATCTTTACACAGGAATATTACCTTTGGTTGAGCAATCCCAAGAGCTTCAAACAATTCTGGATGTTTAACTGGTAGCTCAATAACTTCTTTAATTTCCTTTATCTGTTTATCTAATCCACCTACCATTTCATATGTTGAATCAGGAACTTTTTCTACCATCATTAAACTTACCAAAGGATCCACCTGATTAAATAGATAAAATTATTGTATAGATATTGTATAAAATATAAAAGCATTTATTCATTAATCATTATTATAAAACATGCCTTGTTAGGAAGAATTTTATGTAAAGTGTAACTGTCATTTCGCAATGCCACTCTACTGTTTGGAGTAACATCAGCTATATCTATATTTTTGTCAATATCAACCACAAACTTTCCTTCAGGATGAACCTATAAACAAATATTGAATAGAAAATCAATTTCCACTATCAAGTAACATAAAATTAAGAAATTATTCAAAGTTTTAATTAAAAACTGTTTATTTTTAAAACTAGTTTTAAATTAATATTTTATAATTGTCTATATAAATCAAAATAACCAGGAATATTAATAGGAAAAAATATATAAATGTACAAATGATCAAATTTTATAAAAATAATTTTAAATAACACCCAATTTAAAATGAAAACATCATCATCTAAGTTAATAAGGGATATATAGCAGCTGCCGTAGAAATTGCAAATCAATACATATTGTGCATGATACAAAGTGTGCAGTTAGATACATTAAATTAGATACATTTTACAGTGAAAAAATATGGGTATATTTCATTTGTTTTGTGGGATTTTTTTTGGATGTCTTAGGCCCTTTCCAGCTCTGTACTAAATGGCCTATTTTGTAGAATTGATAGATATACAGGTTACAACTTTTATTTTTTTGAGATAACAGTGGAATCTAATCATTCAAACCAAAAAATTAAACATGTTACAGTATCCAATACAGTTGGCCCCCTATAACACTGTTGATAATTCCGTGTTATATGAATTCCATGTTGTACGAGTCACTTAGATTTTACAAATACGCGTGCCGGGCTGTGAACAGCTCACGTATTTGTAAAATCTAAGTGATTTGTACAACATGAAATTCATATAAAACGGAATTATCAACAGTATTATAGGGGGGGGTCTATTGTAAAATGTTTTAATGTATTGCTGATACTGATAGAAGCAATGAACCACCTTAAAATGTTAATAGCTTTAGAAATAATCACAATTTACAAAGTATGCAAAACTTATAAATCAAATACTTTGATAATTCACAATATCATCTTCAATGTTTAGAACAAAATACAGCAGAAAATTTTTTAAATATTCTTTTCCATTTTGTTTCAAGCACCTAAGGCACTAATGAGTGAATCATACATTTTGCAATTATATAAAGCATGCAATGCCATAACATTGTAAATGCCATTTTTCTCTAAATTCATTTTATTAAAGAAATGAATTCTAAATGCAATGTGCTGCAAAAAAATATTGTGGCTATAGTGGCACAGTAGGTGGCTGTATTTTGAAGCTAAATTTATGAGCAAGCCATAAAGATTTAAGCACCAAAGTGCAAGTCATGACTTTTGCTGTTTAAAACATTACAGCTCATGTTTACATTATTTTGTTGTTCCAGAGAATTTGTAACCTAGTGAGTTTTTTATCATTTTATTATAAAATTTAAATGAATTCCTTCAAGACAAAAAAAGTGTTTTTTTTTTTTATCCCTGAAAAGTTTGTTTTTTGGCATTTACAGCATTAAAGCATTGCACATTTTATACATCAATATATAGTAATGTATAATTGTATATTTGCAAACTTTGTAAGTTATAATTATTTCAGATTATCAACACTTTTTATAAAATTTAAGATAGTTTATTGCCTTTAAATCCCCATGTTTCCTATTGCTGTGAATTACTAATACTTTATTTTTTAATCAATGTATTATAAAATAAAAATATACATATAAATATTATTATTTGTATTAAAAAAAATAATTTTAAATATATGAATTTACCTTCACCAAAACTTTTTTCTTATCCATTGGTTTAACTACTTCTCCCACATAAGATCCTTGTTCTTGCAATAGCTGAAGTTCTTCACGCAACATTCGAACTAAAAAAAATTTTGAATATTTCAAAAATAATTTAATATTAAAATATGTTTAAAAAAAAAACTTAAATGTTATTAATTTACAATATCATTTATATTTACAGAAACACATACTAAAAAAGTTACTTGAATACTGGTTACTTATTCAAGTTAGTAATTTAGTAGATTTATAACTAGAAAAGTTACTTACAAATCTACTAAAATAATACTATACTTTAGTTCTATCTGTATATTTTTGATTGGTAAATAGAAAATTTCATGACAGACAATGAAATAAGGATAAAAATATTTGATTAATATGGAAGACTACTTACTCAAGAGCAAATGAAAAAGTTTATTTTAAGTTACAAGCGCTTTGCTCTAATTGGTATAACTTGAATAACAATAAAATTTATCAAGTATAGAGGCCTAGTACTTTTTAAAAGTTCATATGTTGATAAAAAGTTTCTAAACAGACAAAAAATGCAAATTAGTATCAATTTAGATCTTTACTTAGTAAGCTACTGCTACAGCTCAGTTTCCTTTCTACAGGTGTCTCCCATCTAAACTGTAGCTATACTATCATAATGTGATAGTAATTTTTTGTTCATTTAGAAACTCTTGATATCAACGTATAAACAGTCTAGATTTTTTACAATATAACTTATTTTTTTTGATAGCAGTAGAATCTGATAATTTAAACCAAGCAATTAAGTATATTATAGTATCTAATAAAGTTTCTTTTGAATTCTTTATTTTCAATTCCTACTGTTTGTTTTAAATTATAATATTATGCTTATTAAAATAAAGAAAAACTATATTATGATATGTTAATCATAAGAAATATATCATCAAAAATATTATTTTTTACAAATACTATACAGAGTTATTATTAAAGAGAGACACTTTAACTATGCACTAAAATAGCATATGAAGAAGAAAATACATTCAAAATGTTAATTAACTAAAATTAATTAATTAATAATTGATAATGTTGATATCAATAGTTAAACTTTATAAAATATTGACAAATTAAAATTTGAACTTGTTCTGAATATAACAAACATTGAGTTTTTAGAAGCTTTTAGTCAATTAAGAGGAACTATAGAAAGCAACTGAAAGCTAGTTGATCTCAGTCATTTTATTAATATCATATGAGTGAAATTGTTTATCATTAAACTGATTCCTGAATTAATTTATTATTGATACATATATTTTCACTCTGTATTTAACTTACACAGAATATCTTAAAAGTTGCATTTGCATTACTGACTTGATAATGATTAAGTTAATTTAATCTGTGTTGGCAGATAATTCATTCACAAACTATTTTTGATCCATATCAAATATAGTTAGTTCTGTTCAAATCAATATGTAGATCAGATTTTAGCAATCTACATGAAAACTATAATGCAAATTATGTTTTATAATTAAATTTTTTTAAAGTTTCAGAAAGTTGATGTTATATATAAAATATTATAATATATTAGAAGTGTATATCAAGTCATTTTATATATGAGTACAAAATACAGACAAGGATACTAAAATTTAAGAGAGTTACATAATGCAAAAAAGTATAACATACTGTTCCTTTATACTGCCTGTAAACAGAATGGAAATTTTAATCTCAAGAAAAACAATAGAAACATTTATAAATCACATTTTATAATATATTAGGAATATTATAAAATCAATTTTCAGTGACTTAATTTTAAAAATGATGATCAAATCTGAAATGATAACCAACATTTATATTTATCTTTTTTGACTATCACAAATAAAATGACTGTGATCAGTGGATTTAGTCAATTACTTTTCAAGAAACATTTGAATGAGTATACATGTGAACTAGCACTTGAATGACTGCTACTCAAATGACTAGCTTAGACAATAATTATTTGAAAGATTACTACTTGAATGAAGTTTTCTTAATTAAGAGTAACAATTTGTAATAATTAAATTGCTCAAGTGATTAATAAAGAAAGCCATTTCACAGGCCCACATGATTCTGAGATTTTCAAAAATGCAACTGTTTTACAGTAATTCAGGTATATTGTTCATAAACATTACATCTGTTTTTCTGTATTATACAGATTTTTCACAATTTCTCATGTAAAGCAGATTGCAGCATTATACAAACAACAAAAATATTCTACTTTTAATCAGAAAATGAAAGAATAGTTGGCACTAAAATAGATTGATAGCAACATTGTAAAGTGAAATGATCAATAGCACTAATATAACAATGATTGTGTCACATTTTATGTGAAAATGTTATTTGGAACTGTGTTTAAAGTAATAAAATAAGCAAAATACATTTAGTGTTAACATAGCCTCTTGATGCCATCATCTAAATTTGTTATATACGTGGTAGTTTTGTAATGAAAAAAAAAAAAAAAAAAAGGCAGTGCACTATAACAGATTTTGTCAAAAAGGCATATCATGCATATTTCAATATAAACCTTGGAGTCTAGGACACAAAATGAGACCCAAATCATGTTTGTCACATGAGTTGAACAACTAAGAAAATAGAGTCACGGCAAAAAAAAATCTATTTGCTATTCCAATGGTATAGTGGGAATCAGTGTCATGAAGAATGTTATTTTTGTTTGACCACAGCAGTGAAGGACTACAACAGCAAAAACAAAGTATATTGTCTATCCAACACCTCTCTCTGCTATCAGCCATGTATCATATGGTCTTGATTTACTTGTACCATCTATACATCAGCCAAAGCCAAATATTATCGGGCTAGAAACAGCTATAATACTAATAATTTAATAGACAATTTGGCATTAGAGTTAGGCATTAGGTGCCATCTCTTGATAAATTTAATAATTATAATTTAATTAAATTTAAATAATAATTTTAAATCAGGTGTAGTAAGGACGTTTGGTTATATACATCAGCCTTGCCAGGGTTTGCGATGGCCGGTTGAATGCCTTGGGAGTTTTTGCATGTTGTGGGTGCTGAATGCATGCACAACATGCATTCAGCACCCACTGCCAGCATTGTAATAACTGGTAATGGTTATATCAGCATTGTAATAACTGGCAATGGTTATATCATTAGCTTATATATGCTGGAAGAGGAGATCTGCTTGGGTAGCATAATTGGCAACGCATCTGCATGGTAAGCAGGAGTTGCGGGTTTGAGTCCCGCTTCAGGCCGATTCTTTTCTTCCAGTAATTCTAAAATTATTATTTAAATTTAATTAAATTATAATTATTAAATTTATCAAGAGAGAGCACCTAACGCTAATGCCAAATTGTCTATTAAATTATTAGTACTATAGCCATTTCTAGCCCGATAATATTTGACTTTGGTTTATGTATAACTTTAAACATATCAGGTGTAGTAAAGATGTTTGATTACTTGTACCATCACCTACATCATCAGATTTTTCATCAGAATCATAAATTATTGCAGTGAGAGTGAAGACATGTATTGTACAGTAATTCTGAAGTAGTGATCCACAGAAGTTTAAACAAAGTAAAACAATTTTGTTTTTTATATTTTTATTTCTTTAACTATATTTCTTATTTACACAAATCATTTCTGTTTAGATTTTATTATTATTCAATGACTCTTGGATTATATGTTTGTTTTAAGAAAATGAAACAAATTCTACTAATTTCATTATTGTGAAAAATCTTTATGTAGTAAAAAAAAGTAAATTTATTTTTGAAATCGTATGGCACTTTCAAATGATTAAATTTAAATCAATTTTTGATAACTAATAAAAGTGGAATTTGTCTGATTAAGATGTATGTTTCTTTATGTACTCGAAAGTTTTTCCATGGTAAATTCATTACATCCATTTTTTGATTCCCACCATCAATTTTAGTACAACTTTTTATAGAGAAATTTTAGATAAAAATAGTTGGATACCTAGTCATATACCTGTCACACTAAGATTCCTTATAAAAAGAATCCTAGTGCGACAGATCAGAGTTGGGGTTGCACATTTCAAATTTGCTAGAGTTGGAGTCTGACTATTTGTTTATCAACTCCACCATACTGCTTATCACACCATCATCAGACACACATTTGTAAAAAAAAAGCTAAAGAGAGACTAAGTCCGAAATGCATGCTATCAAAAATAAAATAAATATATTGAGGCTAGTCTTGTGTCTGATGACAGTGTAAAAAGTCTAGAAATAAAGAGACCATTATATAGCTCACTTATACATTTTAACCTACACAAGAAGTGTATTATAGTATACAATCTTTTTTGCTACCAAGGATCACTGCTTTAGACATTTGAGTGTCAGTCTGCCAAGTGGCAATGAGTTTTCCAAAATGTTTGTTACAGGCAAATTTGTAATATTGTATTAGTGCTATGATTCAAGAAAGAACTTGAAAATTGAGCAAAGAGCAAATGTTAAATTTAGAAAATCTGCCATAGAAATCCATGAAATGAAGCATCTCATAGGTGAAAGATGGCAACTAAGGATGAAACCACAATCTTCAAGACCCAAGAACACAAAAAAGTCAGGAGTGTAACATAGAGCATGTTGATCATTTTTTTTTACCATAAGATTGTGTACTGGAAATGTTCCTACCAGTCAGACAGTGAACTTAAGATTTTTACTATGATATTTTGCAGTGACTGTGTATGAATATCAGTCATAAAATACCAGAACTGTAGCACAACCAAACTTGGTTTCATCTTGACAACACTTCTGCACACAAGTCTTCAAAAGGCAAGAAATTTTGGAAAACAACAACATGGCAGTCTTCTCACACCTTCCTTATTGGCCAAATTTAGCCATTTGTAACTTCTTTTTGCTTCCCAGAATGAAACTGAAGCTCAAGAGGATGGAATTTTGATACAGTTAGAGATCCAGTCCAAATTGCAACAAGTGCTTCAAAGTTTTTGAAAAAATAATTCCAAAAAGTGTTTGATGCTTGGCAGAAATGGTGAGATTACTGTATAAATTCAGTACTAGAGGAATACTATGAAGGAAATGGCAGTGAGATTTAAATTAGTTAAATGTTAAAATCTTTATAAACCAAATCTGGCTTCTTTTTGATTGTACTTCATGAATAAAGTGGAACAATCCATATTTTCTAATTTATTTGAAATTTGAAAATTTCGTAATACCTAATTTTATTATTTTACAAATATTAATATATAGATAACAAGATATAATGAGTGATTTGATCAACAATCTCCTGAGTCTCTGCCACCATATCATCACCAAAAATTTTAAAAGCTTACTTTCAGCCAAATTTATTTATAAGAAGTAGTATTTTCAGCTTGTCCTTTCAATACACCTCAGGTAATAACTGTCTCATGGCAAAGTAGACCTTTCTTTAGAGGTTTCTCATTTGTCTCAATATGCAAAACATTAAAATCTTCCCTCCAGCAATAGCATAATTAAAAAGATATTTTTTGATAAAATATTTCTCAAAATGGCCAGGACAGTAAGTACAAATTTAGAAAAGCTATTTAAAAAATTTTCAAATAAGACAATATGTTAAAAATGTCTTCATCTTTTCCTTTCAACACACCTCAGGAAAACATTAAGTAAAATGTTTTAAATATATTTTGTGCTTTTACTAATACATTATAGTTTAGCCTAATGTTTCTGAATAAACAAAACAAAATTCTACTATATGAAATCAAATACACTACTTGAGAAAAAAATATCTTTAAATCATTTTGACATTCTGAACATGGAGAACTAGTGGATAGTATTCATAGTGAATACCATTCACTAGTTCTCCATGTTCAGACTGTCAAAAGATGGAAAAGTACAGTTTATTTACTTAAGAGTTAGATTCAGTGGCATCAGGAGTAGATTAATCCAACCATTTTCCTTCCACAAAAACATTAATTGGTGTATATCAATTCTACAATAACATTCAAATATTTTTGACATTTATCTGAAATTATTCTAAATGTTCTAATAATGAAATTTTCTTAAAATATCAAAAAAATGAAACATTAAATTATTGTTTTCTTTGTTCTATTATTATCATTCTTAAAGTTTAAGCCTGTGTAATAACCAATTAACTGATTTTTTGTTCTTCCATTAAATTTTAACTTTAAATGTTAATTATTACCCAATAACAAATACCAAACCACTTTAATTATATAATACATTCTAATGCACTATCTATGTAACTGAAACAAAACTGAAATAAACAAAATGAGAATGTATGCACTAAATGTATGCATTTCTCAAATAAAGTACAAATAATAATAATAATAATAAACTTTATGCATCCACACAAAAAACAACTTCATCAACTACAAATCACACATTCATACACTAAGGACAAACAAATGGAGTTTGGCCTAGACAAATGCAAAACACTTCACATAGAAAAAGGAATCCTGAAGAAAGAAGATTTTGCACTTGGAAATGGAGACGTTATTGAATCCATGGAAGAGGGCGAGTTCTACAAGTACTTAGGATTCCAACAGGCCAAACTAACAGAACATACACAAATAAAGCAACGATTAATTAAAGAATACCAAAATAGGTTAAATGCCATTCTCAAAACACAGCTAAATGCAAAACACACAGTTAAAGCAATAAACACATATGTCATCCCAGTACTCACATACTCTTTTGGAGTTATACATTGGACTCACACAGATCTCGAGCAACTCCAAAGGAAAACAAGAACAACACTTACTAAGCATAAACAACATCATCCTAAATCCGCCACAGAAAGATTAACCCTTCCACGTAAAGAAGGCGGACGTGGCCTGATTGACATAGTTAACCTTCACTACAAACAAATACAGTCACTGCGAGAGTTTTTCTACAAGAAACAAGAAACATCACAGTTACATAAAGCAGTAACTCTAGCAGACTCAAATAACACACCATTAAACTTACACTCACAACATACAGACATGACACAACATATAAAAAGCATAGACAACATTAAGCAATCATGGGCTCAAAAGGCTCTCCATGGCAGGCATCCTTACGACCTGGCCCAGGATTTTGTTGACAAAACTGCGTCAAACAGCTGGTTAGATCGGGGATGCCTCTTTGGGGAGACGGAAGGATTCATGATTGCCATACAGGATCAGGTCATAAATACTAAAAACTACAGAAAACACATACTCAAAGATACAACACTCACAAATGACACATGCAGAAAATGTCACATCATGCCAGAAACTATACAACACATCACTTCTGGTTGCAAGCTCTTGGCACAGACAGATTACTTACATAGACACAATCAAGTAGCAAATATAATACACCAAGAGCTTGCAAAGAAACACAAATTGGCAGACATCCACGAACCATACTACAAGTATATTCCACAGACAGTATTGGAAAACAACACGCACAAAATGTACTACGACAGAGCCATAATCACAGATAAAACAATTTACCACAACAGACCAGACATCACACTCATTGACAAACACAATAAAATCCCATACATTATAGATAGCCATTCCAAACACTCACAATGTACAAAACACATGCACTGAAAAAATTAGCAAGTACACAGAACTCGCCCAGGAAATAAGGCATCTGTGAAGGATGGATAGGGTGCTTATTGTACCTGTTGTTCTCTCCTGTACAGGTGTGATTCCACACACACTACATAAAAGCCTGGGAACATTACAATTGAGTAGAAATACATACATCACACTACAGAAGGCCACTATATTGAATACATGCCACATTGTTAGGAAATTCCTGAATACAGACACACACACTGACACACTTATTTAATTTTAGTTTTGTTTTGACTGCCATGCCTTGACTTTGGTCCGGCATAGTACACAGCCACCGGTGTGAACCGAGTATAACTCACAAAACGCAACATATTAATAATAATAATAATAGGTTCTTAATTTTCTTTACTTAAATTATGTAATAGATTAAAATATTTATAATGTATGATTTTAAGAAAGTTGGCTACTACAAAAATAAACAAGCAAATCATTTACCTTTAGCATTAAGTTCATTTCTTTGAGCCTGAAGTCTTCTTAAATTTTGGGTTTTTTCAGTCACAACCAACTACATAAAATAAAACTTTTGTTAAAATATATTTTTAAATAATTTATTGATTAGATTTCATTACATTTGATTTATGGTAAAAGTACACAATAAAAAGAATAATAAAAAATGGAAAGAAAATATCAAAAATAAGATGATAATTATCAGAAATTTAAGTACAGTGGGTGATTGGTTAACAAACAGATTGAATAACGAACACTTTTGCGAAAGATTTTTATGTTCGGACAATGAACACCCCACAGAACAAACACAAGAAGAAGCAATGTAAAATAATGAATACCAATTAGTTTTCCCTTGTCTTCTGGCAACAATTCGAAACTTTTCAGAGTGTAGGAGACGTCGACATCAACGCTCAAGCCGGTATATACTGATCAGATAGTATTCCTCTGAACTTTGAAACTCTCCCTCGTAATTCCAGCCTTTTATTTTTCTGACAAAACAATTCTTTTATGCATTTGCGAGAATGTCAAGTAGGCACTGTTTAATTTTGCGTCTGCTTTTCTTTTTGAAAGGTGAGAGTATAATAGCAAAGGTAGAGAGTGGGCAGAAGATGCCTAATGTTGCTGGGCAGTATACTGTGAACAGGTCTACAGTAAGCTGCAGTTCAATCTTACTTAAGAAAAATACTGTACAATCAAGAAGACTGAAGCAGCTAAAGGAATAACGAAAATCACATCTGAGAAATAAAAAACATCAGAGTTCATAATGGAACCTGAAATGGATCTGAGGACAGCAGAACGCCAAGAACACTTGAATGAAGAACACCAAGCAAATCAGCGAGATAGGTTTTTTCTGAAAAAGAGGACTAATGCCAATATCTGTTATTAAAGATCCTTTGAAGAAGTGGGAGGATGACAGAACAACGGTCTTAGAATGACATCCAAACCAGGTTGAGGCTTGGGGATTTCTACAATTGCAATGCTATTAATTATGAAAAATCCTGAAGAAGAGAGAAAAGCAATCAACATTAGACAATTTTTTTAACCCTTTCAAACAAAAAAAACATGACTAATAGAAATGCAAGACTGTGTATGTATGTATTTTTATTATTACATATAAATAAACATAGTAAGAAAGTATATACTTTTTATTTTTGGGGGTCTCCAGAACGAATTAATTAAATTCCCATTAAAGCCTATGGTAAATTGATAATCAGTTAACAAACAATTCGGAAAGCGAACAAAGTCTTGGAATGGATTACGTTCGTTAACCAATCACCCACTATATTATATTAATTAAAGCATTCCATAAATTTGATAACATTAAATTTAAAATTTTAATACAGCAGAGCATCGATTATCCGACCGCGTTCTAGTCGGCAAATTCAAATGTCCGCTAGTGATGTGGCGCTACAATATTTGGCTATGTCTTGGCTACTTTAATATTATTTTTACAT